GGGGTGGTTTCGACACCCTGGGGTGTCCCAAACAGGTCAGAATTCAGCCCAGGGGACAGAGCTCTGTCCTCCTGCTGCTGTCTTGATTATGAAGAACAGATACAGCTTGTAGATTTAGGATGTATATTAGCGTAAGGCCAGTTTTTTATATTTGTTGTCCAGGAATTCCTTATAAATGTGTTACTAAACTACCTGGGTTAGTGACATTTTAAGACGCATCAGCAAAAGTATAAATTGCACAGGAAAAGAGTGCTCTAGATGTAGATTATTCTGGAGCTAAAGAAAAAAAGTTAAAGCCTGCTAATTAATATGTATTTCTGTTGGTCTGTGCTTCCCAAGATAATCAGACCATTGGCTCTTTCCAAACCGTACCTTATGAACCTCTTTTAAAACATGAAATAACAGCATGGTTTGATTGAACAGCCATGTTTCAGATACATACAACTAAACTACCTGGGTTAGTGACATTTTAAGATGCATCAGCTAAAGTATAAATTGCACAGGAAAAGAGTGCTCTAGATGTAGATTATTCTGGAGCTAAAGAAAAAAAGTTAAAGCCCACTAATTAATATGCTTATATTGTATTTCTGTTGGTCTGTGCTTCACAAGATAATCAGACCATTGGCTCTTTCCAAACCGTACCTTATGAACCTCTTTCAAAACATGAAATAACAGCATGGTTTGATTTGAACAGCCATGTTTCAGATACAAAAGGCAAACACTGAGTACATGAACTGAATGTGCGGCAGAGATAGAGTACAGTAGTTTGGTGTGGGGCAAGAATAGTGCTGCCAGACCAAACATTGAATCCCTCTTTGCTTAGACAACTTGATTTTTAATATAGTCCTGAATGATATGTATGCGCTTGTTTTTAATGTATCAGCAAGGTGCTTCCAACTACAGCAACCCTGTGAATTAAATATGTACAAAAAAAAAGAAGGTCCTGAGCCCTGCTCAGGTCTGGCAAATTAAAGTGTGCAGCTTCCTTTTTATTTACTCAGTCCATTTAATGTTAGGTCTTCCTCTTTTCCTACTACTTTCAAATTTTCCTAGCATTATGTTCTTTTTCAGTGGTCTTTTCATGATATAACCAAAGTGTAATAGCCTCAGTTTAGCCTCCCAGCTTCTAGTCCAGTGGTTTCCAATCTTGGGTCCCCAGATGTTCTTGGACTGAAACTCCCAGAAGGTTTCACCACTAGCTGCATTGGTCAGGATTTCTGGGACTTGTAGTCTGGGGACACAAGGCTGGGTAACTCCTGTTCTAGTGAGAGTTCAGGCTTGAGTGGTGTAGCACCCCTTTGTCTTTGTGATGGTCCATAGTATTGGTATATCTTACTCAGTACCACATTTTCAAAAAAATACTTCTCTTTTCCTATATGCTTTCCTCATTGACCAGCTTTCACATCTGTATAATAATCTGGAATACTTTAGTACAGATGGTCTTGATCTCCAATGCCACCTATATATTTCAGAAGCAGATGAGATAAAATACATCCTTGTCTGACACCCTTTCCAATCGAGAAATATTCTGTCTCTCCATATTTTATCCTAATAGTAGCCTCTTGTCCAGAGTATTGATTATGTTTCAACCAAATGTTGAGGCCAGTCTGTTTCTTTTAGAACTCTTCCATAACTCTTCATGATTTTCAGTCAAAAGCATTGCCATAATCTAGAAAGCACCAGCTGATTTTCTTAAATTCTTTTATATGCTCCAGTAGACATATATTTGCATATGGTCTCTAGTATCTCTTCACTTTCTTAATCCAGTTTTAACCTCTGGCATTTCTCCATATACTACTATAAAATGTATAAATATTTGTCATGTTATATCTCTCTTACTATGTCTGAGGAAGTGGACTTGTCTGCAAAAGCTCAGTTATAACTGAGGAAGTGGACTTGTCTACAAAAGCTCAGTTATAATCGCTGGTCTTTAAAGTACCATCAGGTTTTTGTCTTTTTCTTTTTTAAAATTTATTTTGCTTTTACCTATAATGCCTGCACAGACTAACACAGCTATCTCTTATACATCTAAAGGAATCTGACATCCTTTAATCTCTTCTTTATAGTTCTTCAGTATACTCATTTATCCTGATTAAATCATATACAGTATTCCCTTGTTGATCTTTCAGCATCCTTTAATTTCTTGGATGCGGGGGATCAGTTTTTTTCTTTTTTTTGTCACTACAACCCTCTCTACTTCATTACAAAGATTATTATAATAATTAACCTGGTCCCTACATGCAATTGCTGTAAGGACCAGGATCATTGCTGAAAAGGTGCACTTGGCATTGTGATCTGTCACTGTTTGTTTCTGTTTCTCATCTGTTAACAATTTTACATTAACAGTTCATGGTACATACCTCAGTCCAAGTCTTTTTTTGCAGAGATAATAAAGCTTCTCTATCTTCTCCTTTCTACAATATAATCTATTCGAGTTCTCTGTTGGCTATTTGGTGATATCCAAGTCTACAATCATCTCTTTGATTGAGCAAAGCATATACTTACAGTAAACAAAGCATTGACTTCACAGAACTTTATGAGTAGCTTGCCTATCTTGCTTCTACCTCCTGTGCCTAATTCTTCAAAAATCTTTGGTCTCCTTTATTTCTTACTACTGCATGCTAGTCATCTATGATTATCAGCACATTCTGTTTTGGTATATGGCAACGGTTTCCTCCTGGACATTTGATAACGGCTTTTTGTCTCTTCTTCAGTACCTACAACTGGAGTATAATGATAATTATGCTGATGGGCTTCCTATGAACTCCAATACAATTTAGTCAGACTTTGCATTGTATAGTTTCTGACAGCTGGCGACACATGTTGCCTTTCTGTTAGAGCCACGCAGTTTCTTCTCCTGCTTCCCAGGTAAAGTACTTAATAATTAACTGAAATGCCTTATTCCAGTCCACTTTAGTTTGCTTGCCTTATGTACAGTATTACAATGTTAAAACATCCAATATTTTCTTAATATGATTTGAAGCCTACATTGGTG